TCTCTCTCTCAATTCAATTGTTTTCCGGGTTATGTTTCGTTTCATTGGATAAATCTCAGTCAAATTCATGACAAAATCACAATCATAAACGTGTTGCATGACTAGTTGAATGAATGACACGTGTCTAATTGAATGAATGACACATGTCCACAATGATGTCACTATTGTATACGTGTCACTCAGTAAAATAAATCGTGAATCGAGATGCAATTTTGCTCGTTACAAAATATATACCCTTCTTTATGACGACATATTTTCACCATGGATTGAGTGAGACATTGGTTGTTGCATTCAAAAAATAAGATTTATCACGTAAGATTTTTGTTAGGCTTTTATCCTATTTTTGGTTCGTGGAAGTATGTGTAGTGTAGGCCTTCTTTCAAAAGGCATCTTTTTTGCTCTTCTTTTAAGGTATTATTATTGAGTGGAGGTAACTTTCACGTTTAGCATTTTCATTCACGTATTATCTCCCAATTTTAAACAATTATTGATCATTTTATGAGTGTCGGTCTACTTTGATCAATGTCGAAGAGAGTAAAATCAAATCAGAACCGAAAAAATCGAGACTGATTTGTGTGTGATTTGATTCGATTTATTTATAATTTAGTTTTTACGTAGATTTTGTCCAAGGAGAAATCGGTTCGAAGAAGAGGGAATACTAGTGACATATTACCCTATATACTCATGTAAATAAATAATAATAATTATAATGAAATATTTGTAATTATATTGTATCATACTTTATATTACTTTGAAATTATTATTCACCTATTAATCAAATTATATAGATCTAGTGAGTTATTATGGATTAGTTACTTATACTATATGTAATTAATGGCCCAAAATTTGAGATATGGAATAGAATCTAAAATTTCTATAACAAATAACATGCGTTTAGCTTGTGGGCATTGGTTGCTCGGTTTGTGAGCAGCTCACGCTTGCACGCGATTCTCGTGAGGTGGCACTGGCAAAAAAATTCCACGTATTTGCTGACTGTGCCAAAACGAAATTAATTAATATTTAATGGTGACCAATTAATTTTGTTTTAAGGTTATAGTATTTATTATTTGCTAAGTACACTCCGATTCGGGAAAGAAAATAATAATTTGTCCGTACGGAGCCTACCTTTCCTAACCTAAATATGGTGCATAAGGCATTAAGAATCTGTAATTACATGCCATGGAATCAGAATTTTGGCTATGTACCCACTTTTCACCTAATATATGCCTTCAATAATATGATAAAATATAATAATATTTCGTCAATAAATCATATATTATATGTGTACGAAGACTATATATATATAGGGAAATGTTACGGTACAGTTACGAAACTATTCCGTCGAGGTTTGTAACCGTTAGATGATTATGTAACCGACGGTTACAAACCCCGACGGAATATTTCCGTACGTAGCAAGATCGTAACATCTCCCATATATATATATACAAGCATAAACAAGTAGAGCCTATCTCCACCTTCTAATATTAGAGTCGTAACTCGGTCTTATCGAGATAGTCGGACTTGTTTAATTATCAGTATTAACGACTCAAACTCAACCTTTGACTAAACAAATTTTGAACGAATTCGAACTTGGCTCGACTCGACTCGACTCGTATAATTAACTAAACAAGTTTTAAACGATCTTGGGATCAACTCGTGTATTAAACGAGATAAGCCGAGCCGAGCCGAGCTCGAACAGAGCTAAGATAAAATTTAATTAAAATTACATAAAATCTCTCATATTCTTGGCTCGGCTTTAATTAAATATTTTTTAAACTAGCTTGAGTTTAGCTTAACTTGGCCCGACTAACCAAATTCCGAATCGACTCATTTATCAAACAAGACGAGCCGAGTTACAAACTATACTCCTTTTTCTTTTAAGTCCTCTCTCCACAACTATATATACTTGCCCTACACGAAAGGAAAACCACCCAAAAACCACCCAATCTTCTCATGCACCATATATACATACAATACGTGTAGATCTTCTGCCACATGGCCGCACAAGCGTACGCCACGCAAAATTAATTTAAAAAAAAAAAAGAAAAACAAAAACTTTATTTCGCCTCTTCACATTCGGAATCCAAATTAAATAATTTTCTTTTGGAGGTAAAAAAATAAAATCGCATCAGAATAACGCAAGCACATTCATAGTGCCAATCCCAGTGTGTCCCATTAAAATCACCCCCAAAAACACCCAAAAAATAAATAAAAAAAGCACAAAAATCTTTTGTTTCTTTACTATAAATCTTTGTGAGATCAGAAAAAATAAAATAAATAAATAAATTAATTTATGTCCGATTTATTTGTCCGCCATGGCTGAACCTGAACCACACGCGCCGCCGAAGGGCCTCAACAGGCCGTGTATTCTCCTCATTAGTAAGCGAATTTGAATCTGAATAACAATTCTCTTTTTTTTTTTTTTCATTCATTATCGTAATTATTATTTTCGATCTATTTTTTTTAATATAATTAATTTTGATTTATTTTTTATTTTCGGTAACAGCAATTTCTGGGATGGAGAGGTTTGCGTTCAAAGGGGTGGCGTCAAATCTGGTGACGTACCTGACTGACGTCATGGGGATGAGCAACTCGTCCGCCGCCAAATTCGTCAGCAGCTGGGTAGGGTTCACGTCGATGTTGCCGCTGGTTATAGCGACTCTTGCGGATTCTTACTGGGACCGACACAACACGATTTTAGCATCTTCAGTGTTATATTCTGCGGTCAGTACAAATCGATAATCCGTATAACATACAATTTCATTTCAATTTACACGTGTTTATTTTATTAATATTTTTTTTTTTAAATTAAATTTTGTTATTGGATTCTATTTGTTCGGGACAATTGGTGAGTGAGAATCTACGTGCATATCATTTTGATTTAACGGTTACAAACTCGGACCGAATGGTTCCGTAACGGGACCGTAGTATTAACCTATCATTTTGATTGTTTGTTTTTATGGGTTAGGGTACTTGTGGTGCCCAAGTCACGATCCAATTCCATTTGTGGTGTTATAGATATGGAATTATAGACACATATTTTGGCTATAGTGAAAGATAAAAAATTGTGTTGTGTGACCAAATTTGGCAATACACAATTTCTTTCCTAAGGCAATTTGTTGTGTGTGGGAGCAGATTAGGTTGGTTGACTTGTCGTACGTACCTTTCTTTTTAATCAAATGCATATTTATGTCATGAAACTGTCGTACTTTTGTTTACGTTGTTGTTGTCGTTTTTTTTTTTTTTTAAGTGGGACATTTTAATTTGAAAATATGCATATCTTTTGTGTGAGGTAGAGAAAGTGGATCGACTTGTCGTACCTTTGTAATCAAATGTGTATTTATGATACGAAATATCATACTTTGATTTATGCGATTTTCTAAAGTGTGATATTTCAGTTTCAACATTACGCATCTTTATCAAATATAGTTAAAACAATGCAAGTTCCCAACAGTACACTAGAATAGTAATTGAATTGAAAATTGGGGAGACCACTACCATTACAATTCATGTTAGCTTTTACCGGTTAAACTGGCTAATCGTTAGACTGTCTCACAGAAAAAGAATGATATGATTTCAGTTTTAAGTTTTAACATCTCAATATATTTTGCTTGCATCATAACTTTGGACATTTACCATTTTTTTTTTGGTTTACATTATTTCAGGGGCTATTAGCTCTAACTTCGACAGCCATTCGGCACAATACCCATTCGGTCTCGTCTCTATCGTGGTCCCTCTACATGATTTCCCTAGGCCAGGCTGGCTACAACCCTTCCCTTCAGGCTTTCGGTGCCGACCAGCTCGAAAAAAACGAGGATAATGGAGATATTTTGCCGGTTTCTAACACGTTAGACGAGGATAGGACAAAAGGCAGTGACTCAGATAGAAAAAGCAAGTTCTTCCAGTGGTGGTATTTCGGCATATGTTGTGGGAGCTTGTTGGGAGTCTCGGTTATGTCATACGTTCAGGACAACCTCGGATGGGGGATTGGATTTGCTATCCCCACTCTCTCCATGCTCGTGTCGATAGTTCTGTTCTTGTGCGGGAACAGATTGTACGTTCGGAGGCGGAGTGGAATTACTAACGCCAGGTCGTTCGAGGATGTCATGCGAGCGGTCAAGGCGGCCTTGTCGAAGGTGGTCAAGGGTGGTGGGACCCGCCAGCCTGGCGACGGCGACTATGCCATAGTCGAGTTGGAGTAGGTTTTTTTTTTTTTAAAAAAAAAATTCTCTTTTATACGTTTTATGTTCTTTTCGATTTTCTTGCTTTTTGACTTTCGATGCGTACGTAGGCTCCAGGAGAAGGCAGCCCTTTGCGACCTGGACCAACCCGACCCGGCCCGCTTACCCCTTATCGAGGCCTTGCGGGCCGTGCTCCGACTTCTCCCGATTTGGACGACCCTCCTCGTATTCGCCATCGTTTTCCAGCAACCGGCCACTTTCTTCACGAAGCAAGGCTCGACCATGAACCGAGCAATCGGCTCGACCCGCTTCGAAATTCCCCCTGCCGCCCTTCAAGGCTCGATTACCATCTCGATCATACTTCTCATGCCGCTCTATGATCGGGCCTTCATTCCCCTTATTCGGGCCCTCACGCGCGACCCGAACAGCGGGGTCTCGGTCGAGCGGAGGATCGGGATAGGCATGTTCCTATCCGTGGTTGCGATGATTGTTGCCGCAATAACCGAGCGAAAACGCCAGCTCGCCGGAAATAACTTGCCGAGCATATTCTGGCTTCTGCCGCAATACGTGCTTTTGGGAATTTCAGACATATTCACAGTTGTTGGGATGCAGGAGTTTTTCTACTCCGAGGTGCCGCCCAATATGCGTACGATGGGGATTGCGCTCTACACGAGCGTTTTTGGGGTCGGGGGCTTCTTGAGCGCGTTGCTCATATCAGTGATCGAGAGGCTCACGACTGACTGGTTCGTGGATGACATGGCAAAGGCGCGGCTCGACAAGTACTATTGGTTTCTAGCAGGCTCGAGTGCAGTTAGCTTGTTGGTGTTTGTAGGGCTTCGCAGGTTGTTTAGGGGTACAGCTTAGGTCTGTGATTGTGGTTCTTTAGTTGGGAATTTGGAATGTTTTGAGACTGTTTAACAAAATACAGGTTGAAAGGGAAAAAATGATTTGTAAGAGAAGTAATGTGTGTTTTAATGGAAAATATGAGTCGACTCGGCCCGCTTGAGCCATCATATTACACGCGCGCACATTAGGTGTTGATCGAATGGTTGAAAACTGTATGTATGAAGTTTTAGTGTGTAATGTTTGCCCACTTAAGTTTATCTAAATGTTCGTACTAATATGAGGTGTTGTTGGGCCTTTGGGCCAGTGTTGGGCTATTAAACTTAGGTCCAGGAATGTTTCTGAGATTATTGAGCCCACAAAAATTCGAAAGCCAGAGAAAATTCATCATGTTTTGGTAGCTAGCTACTCTTTTTTTTTTTTTTTTTTGGGCAAAAGGAGTATTAAATTGAGCATCCCCATGGAAAATCTGAATAATTACTATTCATGTGAGCAAAATATCACATATAATTGAATAAAGCCATAACAATGGTATAGTAGTTGCAACCCCCATACTTGATGGGCCTACTAAATGGACAGTACTCGTGTTGTTGGTCGTGGGGGCGTGATCCCCTGTGTATGGGTGTAGATAGGCCGAAACTTGTCATCGACTCGACTGAGGCAAAAGAACTCGACCATGATCTTGAGTATTGACAACTCGAGATCGACTCATCTCGACTCGACTTGTTTACTGTTCTGGTTGAGCCACATTAACATTTCTTGCTATCCTTGTTTTGAGCTCAATAAGGCTCAATTAAAGATAAAAGATAAGAGAAAAGTAAAAAGAAATGGATGAACACACCACTTCCTTCGTTGTTTAGTCCTCTTCAAGAAAACGAATATTTCACTTAAATATAATTTCCCAATAAATCAGAAAAATGTGTTATATCAAGTTATCAGTAGCAACTAGCACCTTTTTGCATAAAGGGCCAGGAAAAGATGGGTTTTTTTTTTTTTTTTTTTTTTTTTTTGCCTAGATAAATAGATGACGAGCTCAAGCCATTTTCAACTGTAGCTCCATAGTCTTTCATCGTCCTCATCCAGTCTCCGGCGATAGCAAAATAGAACGCGAAAAAAAAAAAAAAATGAAGGGCCTCGTTATTTTCTCTCTACTCGCGTCGATTTCCGTTCTGGGTTTCCTCCAAGAATCGGTACATGGGCGGCCGTCGTTGATGTCGCTGCCCAAGCCCCGCCGTGATGACGCCGCCGTCTTTGCTCGGTGGTTGGTCTCTCAGAACTCGTGGGGTGTCCTCAGGTAGTGGCGCTGTTCTTTTCTCCAGCTCGCTTATTTGTGTTTTTTAAAGTTTAGATTTTTACGAAATGGCACAAATAAGAACATCCCTTTTGATATGCTATTGTGTTGGCTCTTTATCTGTTAGACTTTGGATCCCAATACAAAAAAAAAAAAAGGCATGATTTTTATTGCGTTCTCTTGCTTTCTGAATGTTTACTTGCTCTGAGCTTTAGTTGTGGAGTTTGGCTATGTGAATGGGACTTTTGTGAGACTCAGGTTATATTGGCTTATTGCATTTTTCTTTAATGGGTGTTCAATTTCTCTCTAGAAGACTAATTGAGCTGTCATTTAATCTATCTGATGTCTGTTTTTTGTTATAAATAGCAATATTGGGTCAAATGTGTGTGTGATCGGATGGTTAAAACCTCGTGGGATAGGGTCGAATTTGCCCGTGTGGGTTATTATCAAAAACTGATTTATATTTATGTGTATTTGCAGCACAGTATCCCGTGACTGGGGAGGTGCACCTTTCGGGTATGTTCAAGCCTTAATCGAACTCAAATTTGTTGTGTTTATGCAATTTTTCTGTATTGGAAAGTTATTCAGTTTTGTACACAATTCAGATCATCTTGCCAATTGGTATAGAGTATGCACATCTTGTGAATCTATGGTGAAGCTGATCAATCGTTAAAATATTTCAACTTCTTCGAGAGAATGCAAGGGGCATATATGATATAACTACGAAAAAATTCTGTCTCTTCCCTTTTTTGTTTTGAATTAGTTGCTTAATATGGCCCTATGTTAGTTGTTGTTTAAGACAGTGGACCTTAGCATTTGGCTGACATCGTTAATTTCCCTTTTTTTTTTCCCTAAATATTGTGTTTGCCTTTGATTTATGAAATTATATACATCACTTATATGCATGAGAGTTCTTTTTTTACTCAGAAATGTGGTATCGTTTAGTGATGGCTTACCGGACAAGGGAAAAGGCATCCCATATTTCTATCTGACAACCCTTGATCCAACGGCTAGCAATGCTTTGAAAGATCAGAGATCTTCATTGTCGCTAAGCGAGTATAACATAGGAACTTGTGGCAAGAAAGATCCCGAGCTCCCCACTTGTGCGAAAATTACACTTGTGGGAAAGGTGGGTTCCTTTATCCTATAATGTGACCTCTATTTTTTAAATTAAAATATTTTTTTTCGTTAATTTGAAAAAAAAAAAAAATTATTAATAATGATGCCTTGAGATTTACACAAATAAAAATATAAAGTGTCATATTAAGTATCATATAATTATGACAAAAAAGTAATTATTAAATGTTAAATATCGACAATATATGTTCCATCATTGAATGATAAAAATGACGTAAGATTACCGTATATCTTCCGTCAAGATTTGGAAAACATGGAGTTGGGAGAATCTTGTGAATTCATATTTAGTGATATTGGAAAAAATGTCAGAGAGAAATAGGAAATATGATGAAGCAACAATTTAGTTGATTTATAAAAACTACATTGTTGCTCTTTGAAGCCATATTATCTGTACCTTTTGTGACTAGGATAGTTATGTTATGTTAAAGGTTTCACTAGCATGCAAGTATGTTTTAATTGGTTGGTATCAGGAAGTAAGATCACTAGCCTCCTATGTGTTTTGTAAATCATTACATGTACCAACTCGAATCTCACTGTTTGGAGTTTACACAGTTAAAATTAATTGAGGGAACAAAAGAAGCTGAGATCGCTCGAGCTGCATTGTTCGCAAAGCATGCTGATATGAAAAGTAAGCATAATAAAAGTTTGAAAATGGCTTATTCTTCTTCCTTTTTTTTCCCCGAATTTCGATTTAAATTTTTGGTACAGTTAGTTGACTATAATTAATATTAATGGCAGGGTGGCCTAAAAGTCACAATTTCCAGGTCTACAAACTCGATATCGAGAATATATTTATGATCAATTGGTTCGGAGGACCAAAACCTATCACTGTAGAACAGTATCTTCAGGCCAAACTGTGAGTTTGAGACAAAAAGTAGCCTCTTTTGCTGTATCATATTCTCATGTTAGACGATAACTAGTGGGAAGTTGATGTAATAGCTACTGAAAATAGAAATAAAAGTGTGGTAACTATCGTCCCATCCAATTCGATTTTTTTTTATTTTTTATTTTTTATTTCACTCAAACATGAACTCTGATTTTACAGGAATAAACCTGCACTCACCGTGGCCTAAACGAAATGCCTATCGTTGATTTGTTGTCTGATTAATTGAGGAACCAGAAATTTCTGCTTTACGAGTGAACCTGTCGATATCTTGGTAAATACCAACATGCTCTGGCTGATGGATTGTAAAAGAAAAAAAAAAAAAATCAAATTACTGAATTATAAAATAAAAAATTGTTGTGTTTGCATTCTTTCAGTAAATGCTCGTGTGTCTGTATCGTTGTAATGTGACGAGCTTTTTTCATGTGAATCGAAATTGGAGCTTTAGTGATTCAGCTGGAAGTGTATTGAAGATGTATGTAATGATCACAATGTAATGATCTCAGAACACTAGTAAATTTCCAATTTCCATAGTTCATGATATGTCTGGAGAACACAGCATAAACATGTATGGAAAGGGATCATGTTATGTAAGAGGTCGAAAAAATAATATTGACTGCATAATCGTGAGTCAACAAATTGATATTGTTTTTATACATGTGAATTAAAGAGATTGTTGAGTTTTAGTCAACTATTACTATCGATAACTCATTTCGAGTCAATCCCTATAAATATGTCAAATGAAACGACCTCTCGTGAGTTCAGGTTGGCTCGATAAGTATCGAAAATACGTTTTTTTATATAAATTTATAATACGTGGCTCATTAAAACTTGAGTTCAGGTTGGCTCGATAAGTATCGAAAAATATGATTTTTTATATAAATTTATAATACGTGGCTCATTAAAACTCAAGCTCGACTCGTTAATGCTAATTAACAAACTGGACTTGAACTTAATTTAGTGGCTCTTAAGAACTCGAGCTTTGACTCATTTACATTAGTATACCATGCACCAATGACAATTTAATGGTCCGTAATGATATAAGAATTAAATTGGGGGACTAAGATGAAATATTGGACAAAGTTTGCGGTTTAACTGAATGGGAGTTCAAAAAAAAATTCCATTCATTGTAGCTCAAATGGAGCTTTATCTCTTGTGCCCATGAAAGACTGAAAAATGCTGGTTCCTCTCTGCAGCTGCAATCGCCATTTTTCCTTCACCCCTACCAAAACTCTTCTAAACCCCTCGCCCCAGATTCCGGGCTGCCACTACCCCCATATCACGCTCAAACCCCTCCGCCGGCGAGTTTCCATCTCCGCCGCCGCAGAAGCGACGGCGGACGCCCGAACTCATGGGAAATCCGCCTTTAGGCGAATAGCCGAGAAGCTCCGCAGCCTGGGATACGTGGAAGAAAGCAAGGATGATGCTCCGGATGAAGGCCCCAATTCTCCCGGCGAGATTTTTGTACCCTTGCCGAACCGTTTGCCCAAGTACCGGGTCGGGCACACCCTGGATACCAGCTGGAGCACGCCGGAAAACCCGGTGCCTGAACCCGGGTCGGGAACTGCGATTCAGAGGTATCATGCGTTGAGGCGCGGGGTTGTGGAGGAGAGGATTAGGGCACGCAGCGAGGAGAAGAGAAATAGGGCCCCCAGCTTGGCGGAGCTTACGTTGCCGGAGGAGGAACTGAGGCGGCTGAGAACCGTCGGGATTGCGCTGAAGAAGAAGTTGAAGGTGGGCAGAGCTGGGATTACGGAAGGAATTGTGAACGGGATCCACGAGCGGTGGAGGCGGAATGAGCTGGTGAAGATCACGTGCGAGGACATATGCCGGATGAACATGAAGAGGACTCACTTGTTGTTGGAGGTTAGATGTGTCTCTGGCTGCTGTGTTGTTTATAAATTATCAATAATTGAAAGGAAATTTTAGTGTTACACTTCTGAGCTAGTGAAAAAGATGGAAATGGATCCTGTTATGTAAACTGAATTCAGATTTAGTTTATTTTATGAATATTGTAAGAGTTCTTAGTTCCTTTATGCTCTTTATAGTTGCTAGATTGAAATCTATTTCACTGAGTGTGAATAACTAAAGCTTAAGCATGATTCTTATAAGGTGTAGGAGACATATTATGTTGAATGCCAGTCTTTCTTGGAATTGCAAACTCGACAAACTTTCGTACGTTTGAAATTCAGTTTAATATGTTTTATCTGACACCAAATTGATGGAACTTTTTTTTCAGAGGAAAACCGGTGGTCTAGTTGTTTGGAGGTCTGGAAGCAACATAGTATTGTACAGAGGGTCAGATTACAAATATCCCTACTTTTTCACCGATAACTCGTCAAACGAGTCGTCTTCTGAAGAATCTGCCGATTTAGGGGAGGATGATAAAACGCTCAACAAGAAGGATTTACAGCCACAAGACCCAAATGCTGTGGGACCCGGCACAGGAAGTTCTCATCCGCCCCTAATAAAAGGTGTGGGTTTGCCCAACAGAGTGCGTTTTCAGCTTCCTGGCGAGGCACAGATTGCTGACGAGGCCGATGCATTGCTGGAAGGACTCGGGCCACGGTTCACTGATTGGTGGGGTTATGATCCTCTGCCTGTTGATGCTGACCTTTTGCCAGCGATTGTTCCTGGTTACAAGAGACCTTTTCGTCTACTTCCGTATGGAGTTAAACCTAAGCTGACGAATGATGAAATGACTACGTTGAAGAGACTGGGCCGACCTTTACCGTGTCACTTTGTTTTAGGTTAAGCTTGTTCTTCCTAGTCATTCTAACATTAATTACTGGATTTTTTAAACATAATTACGTGAAACCTTTGAGGGACACTTGGGGTGTGATTGGATATGAATTTGATCGGTTTTTGATTGATTTTTTATTGGTTTTTGTTAACCATAGTTAATATTAAAAAGAGGTGTTATGATTAGTTGTTAGTGGAATTTTGAGTTTATAATAAAAAAAATATTTAAAATAAAATAATTAAAGTTGATTTGATGTAAACATATGAGAGATATGATAGGAAATGATGGTTAGTTAAAATTATGTGAGTGAATATCTAAGGATGATTGATTAGTATTATTTAACTATATGGATAATATTTAGGATAATGAGGTTGAGTTAAAGTTTAGTCAAATTCGAGTTTTGATTGTATTTTCTTTAATTGAATTTATATCAAATCACACCCATAGCAAAGTGATCTGGGTATTTGTGGTATCAAATGTATCTGTTTCTAGTTGTCTGTTAACTTTAATTGTATTTTTCCCACAGGGAGGAATCGGAAGCTTCAGGGATTGGCTGCTTCCATTGTTAAACTCTGGGAGAAATGCGAGATTGCGAAAATTGCAATCAAGAGAGGAGTTCAGAACACACGCAGTGAACTCATGGCAGAAGAACTAAAGGTATTGTGTAACTATTTGACTAGTGCAGTAAATGCTCATCATCTTGCTATAAATTCGGCACCTCGCATTGAACTCACATGGCAAGACATGCAATTACTGTAGGACTTTTTTAAAAAAAAAAAATCTAAAAATACTTTTGGAGACATTGAAAATAAAACCTTGCAGTGTTTGACTGGGGGAACCTTACTTTCAAGGGATAAAGATTACATCGTTATATACCGTGGGAAGGACTTCTTGCCAGCATCAGCTTCTTCAGCTATAGAAGAGAGAAGAAAAAATGGGATATATGCGTCAAACGATCCATTAGTCAATAACTCATCAGTTTTGAATCAAGAGGAAGGTAAACATGAAATAAATCAATATGCTGCTGAAGCTGAGAATGAAGAAGAAAGTGGTCCGAATTTGCAGAGCCGCTCTGAAAGGAGGGGGCTGAGATTCTCAGTGGCAGCAGTGGAGAAAACAAAGGCCAAATTGTCGATTGTAGGCATTTCATGAATACCCGTACTTCATCTAATTGTTTTTTTCAATTCTTCTTCGTTTGTGTAATGTCGTTTTTGATTGGTTGAAGGCCTTAGAGAAAAAGGCCAAGGCGGAGAAGATTTTAGCAGAGCTGGAAAAAGCACAAATCACTCAACCACTTGAAACAGATAAAGAGGGTATAACTGAAGAAGAAAGATATATGCTGAGGAAAGTGGGTTTGAGGATGAAAGCTTTTCTTCTATTGGGTGAGTATTTAGCTCTGATAAATTCTCTCCACCAAAAATGGGGGATGCTTGGATACAAATTTATCAAAAATAATCCAATCATTTTTAACCAATCACTCATTTTTAACTCAAATCTATCCTCAAGATTATTAATATAATTAAATAATACAAATCAATCATTCTTACACATTACATCAACCTTAATCACTATTCATCCACTCACATAATTTTAACTAACCATCACTTCGCATCATCTCTATCTTACTTTTACATCAAATCAATTGTAATTATTTTATTTTAGTATAAACTCAAAATCTCACTAACAAGTAACCATACCACTTTTTTCAAAATTAACCATATCAAGTCAAAAAATCCAATTTATGAAATCTAAGTGGGGCTCAGGCTGAAGCGCATTTTATCTTGCGACAATTTCTCTGAACATTTTTTAGGTCGGCGTGGAGTTTTTGACGGGACAGTTGAAAACATGCATTTACACTGGAAATACAGAGAGCTGGTGAAGGTCTGTATTGGGTGGAGGAACATTGAAGAAGTTCATGGAATAGCACAGACCTTAGAAGCTGAAAGTGGTGGAATATTAGTAGCGATCGAACGAGTCAATAAAGGTTATGCAATCATTATATATCGGGGGAAGAACTATAAACGTCCTGCTCCTCTGAGGCCCCGAACGCTTCTAAGTAAAAGAGAAGCAATGAAACGTTCATTAGAGGCACAACGTCGTGAGGTAAATTAAATTAGCGTATATCTAAGAAGTTACTAGTTTTTGTTTCCTTTAATAGACTTCCAGAGGATATTATTCTTGCATTGCTTCTACATTTGAAGCAAATAATCATAGCATTTAGCAACTGTCTTATCCATCAATTCTGTATGGTGCAGTCCCTGAAACTAAACGTTTTAAAGCTCAGCCGGAATATTGATGAACTTAAGCTCAAAATTGTACGTTTTCTCCCGTATTTACTCATTTTAAGCAATTGATTTAATGTTTTAAAGTGGTAGTAATTTATATATTTATCTTATGCTAGGAGAAAGATGAAGATAAAAGCAATCTGCAGTTGACGGAAGATTTGAAACATGGAACTGTAAGCTTATATCTTATGTTCTATTGTTACAAAGACATTGTAGCATTTTCTTTTTCTTTTTATTTTGTCATTTAGGCCTATGGTTGGAACATATAATCATCATCCAGGTTAATAAAGAGGTTATTGAAAATCACCACAATGATGATAAGTCTCCTAGAGATCCTGGATGTGATCACCAGTCTTACTATGGAGTCCTTGCCAATGAGGTAAACTTAACTAAACATAGTATTTGTCTCTGCTCTGGATATTTAGATGTATTTATTGCTGCTAGGGTCTCAAATGTGGACTTGAAGATGGTGAGTTCAGTGTTAGTGTTGTAAATTCTGTAGAATACGTACCTTCTATTATGCGTGCTCAAAGGAATTAGCTTCTCGAAAAACAATGCTTCATTGTAGATGAAATTCTTATATGGAATTGGATTTTAACATTAATCTGCGATTCATAATTGTTTTTGGAGTTAGGATATCAATTTGGATATGTTAGAATTGTTTAACCTGTTTAATTTGCTCGAGCGCATGATTTTCTTCATACCATTCTATTCTCTGAATTAGCTTAAGATCCATTTGTTTGCTCTGTACACCTTCAGTGTCCCTTAATTGGTCCTGAAATAGCTTACCTTTGTGCTAAGAGTGTTCATTTGGGAAATGCATTCTTAATCAATGCACTGTGAAATGCATTTATTCTTCCGTAAGTATTTTATTCTTACATTTTATTCGATGCAAAAAGTTCCCTAGTTCTTGTCTAATTTATCCCCGCCTTTTTTCCTGTAATGATTGAAGACTAGTGAAAGCCATGAAACTGATGCAATTGCTAGAACCCAAGTGGGTCCGTTGTATTCTTCAGAAGATTCCGTGCATATTGTTAAAAAACAGCAACCCTTAACAATAGATGTTGCTTCCGAGCCTGTGGTTAAAAAGGACTATTTATTCAACACAACCGACACAGATCTTCAACCCAGATCACTGCCTAAGGAAACCAATGACCAAAGTGTTGAATTTTCTCATAAATACAGGGTAAAATTCGCAATTTTACAAAATATTATTTTCAATGTCATGAGCTACACGTTACGAAATAGTTTCTGATTTGAGGTCATGCTACGTTGGATCCAGTCTCAAAATCGAGCAAGCTCTTCTTCATCGGTCGAACAAAAAGAGGCTTTCCAGCTCTCAAACAAAGAGAGGCTTCATCTGAGAAAACAGGCTCTCAAGTTGAGAAAAATACCCGTGTTTTCTGTTGGTAATGACGATATTATCCCCGTAATTTTTGAAATGTTGAGGCCCCAAACCAAAATCCAATGACAAATTTGTTGTACATATATATGACAGGAAAGAGCAACGTCGTCACAGGACTTGCTAAAGAACTAAAGGCCCACTTGAAAAAGCATCCTATAGCCATTGTGAACATCAAGGGCAGAGCCAAAGGAACATCGGCCCACGAGGTCATCTACAATCTGAAGGTTCGCTCGCACTTCTTGCTTTTTCTTTAAAACGAAATAAAAAACAGGAAAATTGCATTTTTAGTCATGTTGGTTAGTCCCTAAACTAAACAATACTCTTATTCACCTAATCCTCTCATCAGCAAGCAACGGGCGCTGTTCTTGTGTCTCAAGAACCCAGCAAGGTGATACTCTACCGAGGCTGGGGTTTAGCAACCGAACCTAATCAAGCAAGCCGAAAGGGAAATAAGGATTTGAAAAATGAATCGATGGGCCAAGAGGTGAAGGCCCGTGGGCCTGTATCACGTGAGCTCCTATCAGCAATGAGGATCGAGTGCGGCATGAAATCAGCTGATGATGAAACTGATGGCACTACGGACAATATCCCTTACGACACGGCTAACACTTAGGTGGGTAACAATAACATTTCATACTATCACAATTGTCAGCTAAATCCTAAAAATGTAAATGCTCCTTTTTTCTTCATTCTTTGTTAGTTGTATTTGTATTTGTATTTGCATTGTATTTATTTTTCAGTTTTCCAGAATTTCTACACATTGGCTGTTGCCTCTCACGTGTTCTTAAGAACACATAAGCTCCTTTGAAAGTTGGAACATTCTTTTTTATAACCAACATAACGTGATAAGCGGCGAGGAATATGGTACTTAGAGTCAAATGGAGGAAAAAAATTAAGCAAAAAGAAAGTCAAACAAACAGTGCCCCGATAGAAAAACACCATTGACATTTGACAGTGGATTGCATCAGCGTGACGTATTATCCAATCCAAGTTAGTTGATCATTTCCGTATTTTAATCTTTATTTAATTAAATTTGTATAATCTTTCTTCATTTTATAACTTTTACCTTCAAAATAAATGTTTTCATATTTTCTTGGTTTTATAGTATAGTTTATAGAATTAATATAATTTCATTTAATGTCTCCCAGGTTTTGCAGAGTAAAACAGTGATATCTCCACTTGTTTAAGGTAAACAACTAGATCTTTATAGATTCAACGGTTTTGCTATGGAGTTATCGGATGGCTCGACTTATGAAATCCTACAATTATTCTTAAATAATGTATTGATACGTGTCATATAATAAATACACATTGAACATATATCAGTACATAACTTACGGATAGATAAACATAAAGTTATAGATTTACATTTATGTTTTGTTTAAACTTAAAGGATTCATCAATATCTTACCTATAAGAGTACTTTTAGTTTATTTGCTCTTATTTATTTCAGAACAAAAAAAGGACTTTACAAAAGCAGTAGCAGCTGCAATGATGACAACACGACTACGCGCACAGAAGTGTAATATTCTAATGACAAAAATTAAAGAAGCCTTTTTGCGAGTTTCATTGTTGCCATTAACAATTCTATCTCCGACAACAGCAGGTTGTTTCTCGCTTTCATAAAAATGCACACCCGACCCGACTTCTCATTTAAAATAATACTATTACACGAAAAAAAAAAGTGATTTTTTTCTTATTATCATGGTTTATTAAGTTTTAAATTTATAACAATGACAAGTTCTTCTCCGGAATTTATCACTTGCAGTTAATAATTCTAACATGACATAATTTTTTTAACATGATGAAGTTTTATTTAAAATTTAAAATTAATTTTGGGTTTGATTTCGATTGGATGGTGTTACTGAAAGTATTATCAATCAATTATCTTTGTAAGTGTATGAGCAACACTGACTGCAGCGTTCTTATTGATAGAATCAAATATTCGTTTAAGTGTGTGATACAACAGTGATTGCAGTGCCCTTATCGATAGAATTACCCGGAGTGTGTGATCCAACATTGACAGCAACACCCTTAGGATCGAATATATGTGTGGATGTATGGTCCAACAGTTATTTTAGTGTCCTCACCTCTAGCATGCGAGTGTGACAAAATAGTGACTGTGGTGCTCTTATCGATAGAATCGAATATCCTTTCGATTGTGCAACTCAACAATGAATGCAGTAGCCTCTCTGGTAGAATCAAATATTCGTGTGAGTGTGTGATCCAACTTTAACTGCAGTACCCTGGCCTCTCTGGTATAATCAAATATCGTGAAATGATCGAATATCAATGAAATGAGTGACCAACAATGACTGCAATACCCTCACCAATAAAAACGAATATCCATGTGAGTGTATGATCCAACACTAACTGCAATTCCCTCACAAATAGAATCGAATATCCATGTGAATGTGTTATGCAACATTGATTGCAACATGTGAATGTGTTATGCAACATTAACCAGCCCGTGATCAACGACCTTGAACTGGAAACAAGGATCAACCTTTTTTTGTCTTTTTTGTAATTATTATTTTTTCTCAATGAACCAGATCGACCCAAAACCAAAAGTTCATTAACTGGCCGTAATTGTCAGTTTATCGAACCAGCCAATATGTTTCCAGACCTCAAAACCGCGAGCCGAAGCCCAAAACTGACGGTTCTGACCCAAAATCGCTATTTGGCCATGTCTAAATGCAATGTCTTCATCGATATAATTCGAGTGTGTGTTCCAACAAGAACTATAGTACACTCACCTTCCATATTAAATATACATGTTAGTGTATCATCAAACAGTAATTGTAGTGCCCTTATCGGTTGAATCAAATCTCTGTGTGAGTGTGTAATGATCCAACAGTGACTGCAGTGCCCTTATGGGTAAGCTCAAATATCTTTGTGATTGTGTGATCCAATTGTAACTACACTATCCTCACCAGTAGAATCAAATATCCGTACGAGTGTGTGATCCAAAGTGACTGCAGTAACTTCGCTGGCAGAATGCGATTGCGTGATCCTAACAGTGATTGCAATGAGTGTGTGATTCACCAGCGACTGCAATACCCTCAATACCCTCACTGACAAAATCAAATATCCATGTGAGTGTACAATCCAACAGTGACCACATTACTCGTATTAGTATAATCAAATATCAGTGTTAGTGTATGATTCAACAATGACTGTAGTGCAATGCCCTTATCGAATTTCCGTGTGAGTCGATGATCCAACAGTGTCAACAATGCCCTTGTCGATAAAATCAAGTCTACGTGCAAGTGTGAGCGAGCCAACACTAAGTGTAGTGCCTGATCGATTGAATTAGTCCCTTCGGGGAAATTTGATAAAATTTGACACGCATAAATCGAGAAATGGTCCTGATCGATAGCATTAAATATTCGTACAATTGTGTGATCCAACTGAAACAATAGTGCGCTCACCGACAGGATCGAATTAATCGTATATATATTTATAATATTTTATTTAATTTTTTTATTTCTATTGAAAAAATCAGTTATAAAACTTGGGTTTGACCCAGTTTTAACTGATTTTTTTATGGCTAAATATTTAATTTGAGTTGAATTAAATATTGTAGAAAAATTCTACGTTATGAGTAGATACTCGTGGTATATTTATTTTCTCAAAACTGATTTTCGGTGAGTGAAAAATAAATTGTTAAAGTTAGCCATAAAAGGGCACGTAAAACGTTGGTTGTGGGATTTGAAGGGTCAAGAGTCACTCCTACATTGGACTCTTAAATGAGTTTAACTCTCTTTATTATAATAAAGAGAGTTGGAGAGGTTACAACAAACACAAAGCTATACACCAAGTGTTGGTGTTGTTTCGGCCACACGCGCGCGCGCCCACCGGCCGGCTCGGGCACGGGCAGGGGCCCAGGCCCGGGCTTGGGTGGTCCTTGGTTCTTGGCAATTGGACTTTGGGCTGGACTTAGGGGGCCTTGAGCTCAATCACTATATATCTTTTTGCTGCAAATTTATTTGCAATTTTAGGCCCAACTGAAAAGTCCAATTTGGATTTGGACTCGGGTTTTGACCCAACCCAAGTGAGACCTCTCCATGTGCAATAAATCTGGACACCTGACTCTTTATGTGAAATGTAACAACTCAGGTGATGGATTAATGATGTTAATGGGGTTAATGGTGTTTAACTCCTGATTAATGGTGTAACTCCTGATTTTCCCTCAGAAGTGGAAGTCCTATAAATAGGACTTAGAGCTGCAGAGAAAAGACACACAACATTGCATGTTTTCTGCATAAGATCAAAGCCTCACGCATCATATCATAGTGCTCAGTTCTCGTCTTTATTTTCCTTCGCTGGAACTCAGAGGACTGGTGTACTACAGCTTCTGAGTGTATTGCCATTGTATTTTTGGGGACATTACGCACAGATCCGTCAGCACTATACGGAGCGTATTTGTCTTGTGAAAAGATTTCAACCGCCTCGACTTCCAATCTGTCTACATTTGTGTTGTAATTTTTATTTTGCTTTAATTCTTCATTTTCTAATTCCCTAGTTAGCTTTATTTATACAAGTCTGAAGTCTCCTTGCAAATCATTCAGCGCCAGCCACGAAAGAAGGCAAAGGCAAGTCCACTTTTCATCATTTCACACATCTTATCATGCGTCAACGACCCCCCTTACCCTTACCCTCCTCACCACTTTCAACACAGCCATCATTACACCCACCATAATAAATAAAACAAAACAACCTCAATTTCATCATCATCATCATTATCTATCAAGAAAAAATTATTCATACGAGCTCTTAATAATTACTATTATGGCTCTTGTCTCAGCCCAGAAGCTAATCATGACAAGCTGCTTCAACAAGCCAAAAAAAAAAAAAAAGAAAAAAGATAAAGTACTTCTATTATTATAAAAGAGAAGAAAATTAATGGCTTCATTTTGTTTTGAAAAATCATACTATTTCTCTTCTCTATTTTTTTTTTTATTTTCTTTAATTTTATCTCCTTGTTTTGTTTTGTTTTGTTTGTTGATGGGGAATCAAGCATCATGGTCCGATCGATCTTGTACGAGATCGAGCTTCTTTTTTAAGGTTTAATGAAGGTAAGTGTATGTTGATAGATCTTGCAGTATATTTAGGGTTTCTTGTTCCAAGTTTGATTGAGTGATTTGTAAGCAAATTAAGATCATGATTTGTATAATTGTATGTGTGGTTTAATATTGTGCTATGTTTTATTTAGTCGGGGTAACGCTGCAGATACCGCCGTGGCTGGCTACCGGAAAAAAAAAAAAAAAATATTGTGCTATGTTTTTGTATTATTATTTCTTGTTCGTTTTGGATTTGCGTGTTTAATTTGCAGATCTGTATTATTATCATTGTATTTGATCAGGTGAATGAAATGATTTTTTTTTTGTTTCCCTTGAATTCAGGCAATTTTTTTTTTTTTTTTTATGGTGTTTAATTAATTAGAGAGTCTAGGGTTCACAAACGTCAGAGTTTAGGGTTTGATCTTTTTGTCATCTTCGTGTCCTTTTTTTTTTTAATCTATTGATTGATTGTAGCAACATTGAAATTAATTCAATCATATCAATAGTTATGGGCCGGGTTAATGAAATTGAATAATTTGGTAATTTTCCTAAAAAAAAGTAATAAATGTAATGAAGTTCATAATTAGAACTTTGAAGTTCATCAAGGCCTGAGATATATAATTTAAATTAATTATGATGGATGTGATTGGAAGTGATGTTATTTAAAAGTACCTAAATAGATTAATGGTGAATTAAAATTGACTTGATATATCATGTTAATGATTGATATAATTTAATTATATTGTTAATATTGAGGATAGTTTAGTTGAGTTAAATTTGAGTTAGAATTTTTGAGTTGAAAAAGTTGTCTAATCATTAATAACTATAGCTATGATATAATTTAATAATGTTACTAATATTGAGGGAAGTTGAGTTGAGTTGAATTTTGAGTTAAAAAAAAATTGTCCAATCATTAATGACTATAGCGGAATATTTTGTGTCCAAGTCATATCCTAAGTAAACCTAAATAAAGAGGCCTTTTGAGTCTTGGAATTGTATATTTACCTATGATTACTGTGTTATTAGGGTGTATTAAGAAGTAGTATTATATACATTTATTGTTGATTAAACTAGAGAAAATTGCAATTTTAGTCCAGTAACTTAGGTTGTTTTCCATTTTAGTCCACTAATTTAGGCCGATCCAAATTTGGTCCAAAAACTCTCAAAAGTTAGTCCAAAAACTTAGGTTGTTTTCCATTTTAGTCCACTAACTTAGGTCGATCTAAATTTGGTCCAAAAACTCTCAAAAGTTAGTTAAATCAGTCCAATTTCAATCCAATTGATTGGTCAATTTCAGTCTAATTTTAGTCCAATTTTAGTCCAATTGGACTGATTTAACTAAATTTTGGGAGTTTTTGGACTAAATTTGGATCGACCTAAGTTAGTGGACTAAAATGAGAAACAACCTAAATTACTGGACTACAATTGCAATTTTCTCATTAAACTATGTCAAAGTTATGTACCTTCATGTTGAAGTGGTTTATTTGCAGTTGCTCTGCAATGTACTACTGCTAATTCATTTCAAGCTGGAATATTTATTCAGTCAATTTCATCAATATTTACAAAACTCAATATCATCATCATTACACGTAAAATTCTTCGGTTAATTTTGAGAACAATATATTCAATATATATGATATGATCATATGTGGGCAAAATTCTTGAAATGGCAAATAATTCTACATAGAATTTAATGATCTTTATTTAATTATGCAGTTGCATGTGTTGTAGTAACTATATACAAGTATGTATTTTTGAATATAATGATCACCGACAATCACATTGAACTGAAACAATATATATATGACACAAGTACTTTAGCAGAAGCACTCATTACTGTCCTTTGAATAAATATGGCCGATGAAGAACATGACTACTTCACATCAATTAAATGACTTCGATTTTTTATTTAGAAAACTTGCACTTTATTTTATCATGAGTTTTGTTAATCTCTATCTATACCTATTATTATTATTATTATTATTATTATTATTATTATGAGTTTTGTTTGCATGAATTAATAAAATATATATACATTTGAGTTTATTTGCATGTTTAACCAATTTATTCCATGATAAATTAATGATTGTACTAATTTGTTTTTAAGCATCAACTTAACAACCTTAATCCTTAATCAGTTATTTTAGTGTATAATGCATGACATAATTTCAAACTCTTTTTGAATTAGTTGATGAAATCCCTAGGAAATTGTCAACAAGCCATTTTTGTTCTGTTGTATATATATATGTCTGACTATAACCCACAATCATTGTTTAGGTTAAATTTGTTTCAATCAAGAGAGTCACATTTAACCTCTGTTTTAAAAATCGACATAAGCGGTGCTCGGCCGCCTCTGCTTTGTATAAATCGGTTGAAATAAATCGTTCAGTCGGGTAGGCGTTGGTCGAGCGCCTAGCGACTTCTATAACACTGGATTTAACTATTGGATTATATTCATCAAAATTCATGAATTTTTTGTATAGCCTAGTGATGCAGAAGCGTAGCAGATGAAAGGGGAAGAACACGATAAGAACTATCAAT